ATCAGTGATCAAATATGTAAACCCTACTGTTTACATTGTTGATCTCTCCCCTTCCTCTTACAACGGTAAAAGGAGAGGAAATAGTAATCCATGAATGAGAAATGAAGACTGGATCAACAGCAGCTGTCTCATTGATTGTGACACATTCAGGACATGCAATGGCTGTTCTGTGCACAGTCTCTTCTCAAGCTCCGAGCCCCATTTTGAGCACATGTTCTGCCAAAGACAAGACACACTGCAGCTCCAGCTGTACCCTTTTGGGGAATTCCATGACCCTCATTGCGGATGTCAGGCAAAAGGGGAATTGAACAAGGGGGCAGTCCTGCACACACTGTACACAGGGCCATGAGGAGGTTATCAGGATTACTCTGAAAACTCTGCTTCTGGTACATTGGATATCTCTAAGTTTCCCCTTATAGGGCAAAACTCACTTCTCCTTTTTTAACTAGAGAGGAATTTTTTACCTCTCTGGCAGACCTTATAGGGAAAATTGAGAACTGGATTCCTTTTTGGGCCTATTGGCGTTGTTTGCTGTGTTGCCCAACACTAAGGCCCCTTTTACATGGGCGTTCAGTCTAGATTTGTCTGTCACTTTCTCAGACAGATCCAGTCTGAACCACAATCTACAGTGCATTCAGAAACTATTCAGACCCCCTTCACTTTTTTTTTAATTTTGTTATGTTACAGTTGTTTTAGTTAATTTTTTTTTTCTCTCATGAATCTACACTCAGCAGCCCACAATGACACCACAAATACAGAATTTTAGAAATGTAATAAAGGGTTCCACACAGTGGATGAAATAAGAGACTAAATGAGTCTAAGGCAATGTAAATTGGGGCTCTAAATGTACCTCCAGAGGTATAACACCAACAAACCATGTCCATATATAAAAAAAATGTTTTTTATTACATTATACATAGATCACATAAAATCACCATAACAACCTTAATCTTAAATCTATATATAGTTTACCACCAATGGGAGCTTCTCTCTGTCATCATTTTTATCATGTGTTTTGTGTGGATTGGTGATATAGTAAATGGATTATAGGTGAGCCTTGATTATACTGTTTGTGTCTGTTTATGTTATGTCAACATTATCAGTCTTGGGTCATCTTTAGATTTATAGTTACCGTAGATCTTTTTTTTTAACTTTTAGACTTCCATATGAGGATATTGTTTAGCCCTTCTGGTTCTGGGCAATAACTGGCTAAGTCTTAGATTCAACAATTTACCGGATGTATGTAGCCAAAAATGATCTATTCAGGGCTTTCTTGATCTTTGTAAAGTCGAAAGACTTTTGACTTTGAAGGTGGCTGCGATACATGTGGTGAAGTGTACATTAGTTTCTGTTGAAATTGTTGCCAACAGTGTGGTGCTCTACAATTAGATACCTCCCCATGGGCCCAGAAGGCATGGTTGTCTGGCATATTGTCTCATGTGAATATAAGGTAACAAATGTTTTGATTATATTGATCACTTCATTCAATTGTTTAATGTAAAACTTGTCCCTAGTCAATGGGGAAGTTTTTGAGGTTAAGAAAAACTTTTGTGAACTAAATATATTGATGGGTTTTTGTTTTTTGTTTTTTCTCTCCTTTCCTTGGGTTTTCCCTGATTCTACTCCGCAATCCAGGGTGGGTATTTATTAATTACAGATAATTACATCAACATATTCTATGTTATGAAATTGGTGGTTATCACTTGTAGTGTTATTAAAATCATGTAATAATTACAATTGTACATATTTTGTTTGTCAGTGTATAGCGAGATCCAAGGCCCTGGGGAAGCGGGTTTCCCATGAAACTCGTCAGCCACATAGGAATAGGATCTCAGGAACAGACATTTGGTTAATCGAAAGTGACATAACGCTCACATATTTTTATTGGTGGCAAACTATATATAGATTTAGGATTAAGGTTTTTATGATGACTTTTTGTGATATATGTATAATGTAATAAAAAATGTTTTTTATATATTGACATTGTTTGTGTTCTACCTCTGCAGATACATTTAGAGTCCCAATTCACATTGCCTGTATGTTGTAAGGATGGTACCTCCCCGAGGTAAAAATATTTCCATATCCATCCTCCACATATGCCTCACAATTTACATCTGAAATAAGAGACTAAGAGTTTCTGGAACTCTTCTGCTCTGTGCAGTGGCTTTGCAAGGCCTTCAGCCTTTAGAGCCACTTTAGATCACCACCTTTTGAAGGTGTCTGACACCTGCAGTGGTGGATGACCTAATGTGGCTCTGAAGGCCTTGCAAAGCCATTGCACAGAGCAGGAGCATTCTGGATACTATTAGTCTACTAAAGTGCCATTGTCTCTAAATAACTATAAGTACAATGCATTGGTTTTATATTATTTAATAAATGGTTTGACACTATGGGATTTTTCCTCTTTTAAATATAATATTTCGTGCTCCATGTGGAGGAGTAGAGATGGATTTCATTCAATACTGGGAAAGTATTACTGGATCGGAGGAGATTCTACCTGTGTGGTACTGGGAATCTAAGGAGAGGAGAGCTTCACCCTGGGTGGTTTTTGACCTGCTTATCAGGGGTCAAATAATTGTGGTGAGTGTGGTTGTGTAGGGGGAGCACAAGTTTGCAAGAAAGCTTTTGCAAACTCCAAGTGGGCTTTCATGTGGTTTGGAGAGGCTTCCATCTATCCAGCCTGCCATAACGCCCAGATCAGTGGAGGGCTGCTGTAACGGACCGCCTGGTGGTACCACTAGCACTCCACTGGTCAGGTGCCCCCAGAGCACGGAATCTAAGCACCAGAGCACTTGTTCACCAGGGCCTCTGATGGTGGGGATGGACTTGGAGCGCTCCGAGACCAGGTCGTGACTACTGAGTACACCCACCAGTGGTAGGGGTGTTCGCCAGGGGCTCCCACAGGGAAGAGCCTGATATGAGGAGGTCGGGTGACCCCGATGGGATGGATGGATGGCTGAGCAGGTGCGAGGTCAGACAAGCCGGGTCGGTAGCCGTGGGGACGGTGCGGTACAAAGCAGTGGGCAGAGAATAGTCGGGTCACACGCCAGGTCAGCAACAGAAGATCAGATCCAATAGGGGGCATCCAGGAGAGAGGTCAGGCAAGCCAAGGGTCAGAGCAGGAGAATACAGCGTGGTCAAGGACAATCTGGGTCAGCAACAATCAGGATACAGGTAACAGGGATTCAGAAAAGACCAGACGGCACTCAATGACAGTTCAGGGCCGTTTAAATATCGCGCCCTGCGCTGTCATTGGTGCCATGCGCGAGTTCGTACGCCGCGGCTGGCCTGGACCTAGTGCCCTGCACAGGGCGGTGCACTGCGCCTGGGCCGGGACCAGCGCCACGGCGATCCCTGACAGCTGCAGTAATGATTGTCCTTACAGAACTTTGTTCCATCTCCACACAGGCTCTCTGAAGCACAGTCCGTGACCACTGGGTTCTTGGTCACCTTTCTTACTATTGCTCAGTTTGGCCCGGTGACCATCTCTTGGAAGAGTCTTGGTTGTGCTAAACTTCTTCCATTTGAAATTTTGGAGGCCACTTTGATCTTAGGAACCTTCAGTACAGCAGAAATTTTCTTGTAGCCTTCCCCAGATCTATGCCTTGCAATAATCCTGTTTCTGAGCTGCAGGCAGTTCCTTTTGACCACATGGCTTTTGTTCTGATACAGTATGCATTGTCAGCTGTAAGGCCTTTTTATAGAGAGGTGTATACCCATATTGTGTCCAGTCATTTGAAGTTACTACAGGTGGACTCAAATCAAGGTGTAGGAACCTCTCAGCAATGATTAAGAGCAGGGGTCTCCAAACTATGGCCCTCCAGGTGTTGAAGAACTGCAAGTCCCATGATGCCTTGCAAGACTCTGACAGCCACAGGCAAGACTCCCAGAGGCATGATGGTACTTATAGTACAGAAACTGATTTAAACCACCTTTTGCCACATCCATAAATAACTGATGTATATCAAGAAAGCACAAAATATAGGACTGTACTGGCATTGAAAGGGAACCCACACATTTTTTTGTATAAAAGTACAACTTTTATTCATAACACCAGAACAACATTAAAAAATGTCTAAAAAGCAATATAATAAACAGGACAGCGCTACAGACAATGAATAATAAAAGTCAACAAAAACTCTATGCCAAATCCTCTGTACATATCAAAATTCCCACTGGATTGGTAGTAAATGTATCATAGTGATAATGTAAACCATTCATCAGAAAGATATAAAACATTCAAGTGAAAGTCTCAATAAAGAAAGTTTCCTTCTGTCCAAGTATTCAAAGCAAACGGTAAACTGGAATCACCACTAGTGAGGAACCTTCAACTTCAGTTTCTCACATGTTGGTTAGACCTATGGAACTTCGATCTGATCATGCTGTTAACCCTATTTTCCCTGGGTTATGGGGATATACTTCAACTGTACGTCCTCCAAATTGTTGATAAAAGGCGATACACCAGTTATATGGAGAGAGAAGCTAACATAGTGTGTACACGTATTAAAATAGATTAAAAAGCAACCCTCACAAGTACATATGCCAGGTGTATTCCAGATAACAGTATCAAGATGTTACTCCTTATAATTTCTGCAGCTGGTGGAAGCTCCGTGAGTGGGGTCACTGTGCTCTCTCCCCTCTTTTCTCCTGGTAGTATCCTGTCACTGTGATCCGTGTGGTTCTGCTGGCAATAGAGCAGTAGCCGGTACTTGAATGTCACTCACTCCACAATACACCCTTACGCATTACGCCTGTGTGCCTTCGTCTTTGTGATGAATGGTTACATTATCACTCTGATACATTTATTACCAATCCAGCGGCAATTGTGCTATGTACAGAGGATTTGGCATAGAGTTTGTCTATGCCTGTAGCGCTGCCTGTTTATTATATTGCTTGGGCTGAAAGTGCACACTCTCAGGTTTAATTTGAGGGTATATTGTCAGGGCAGGGCTGTGGAATGGACAGGTAGGCCTAGTGGCAGGGTAACACACTGACTGACGACAACCACCACCAACAGACCGAAGTCCCTCAGGGCGCGGAGTCTAAGTCCCAGGCTGCCCTTCACCAGGGCCCCTGATGGTGGGGATGGACGTGATGCAGCCAGGAACCAGGTCACGGCCCCCGAGACACCCCGGCTGCGGTAATGGCCGCCGCCAATGGCGTGTAACTGGTAAGAATGACAATAGCGTAGGCAGGCAGGCTGGGTCGACAACAACGGGACAAAACGGTACAGAACAGTAGACAGAGAATCACAGGTCACGGGCCGGATTCAGCAACGGAAGGTCAGATCGAAGGAAAACACAGAGAGTGGTCTAGTCACAAGCTAAGTCAGATACCAGAAGAGTCACGAGAGTATACACAGAGCTGTAGCAAGACAAAGACACAAGTGCAAAGGGCATGTGCGGACCACAGGCTTATACAGTCATGGCCGAAATTGTTGGCACCCTTGATATTTCTCCAGGAAATCATGTATTTCTCACGAAACGTATTGCATTAACACATGTTTTGCTATACACATGTTTATCCCTTTGTGTGTATTGGGACAAAACAAAAAAAGGGAGGAAAGAAAGCAAATTCGACATAATGTCACACAAACCTCCAAAAATGGGCTGGACAAAAGTATTGGCACCCTTTCACAACTGCGGATAAATAAGAATGTTACAAGCATGTGATGCTCCTGTAAACTCACCTGGGGCAAGTAACAGGTGTGGGCAATATAGAAATCACACCTGAAAGCAGATAAAAAGGAGAGAGACGTTCACTTAACCTTTGCATTGTGTGTCTGTCTGTGCCACACTAAGCATGGACAACAGAAAGAGGAGACGAGAACTGTCTGAGGACCTGAGAACCAAAATTGTGGCAAAATATCAACAATCTCAAGGTTACAAGTCCATCTCCAGAGAACTAGATTTGCCTTTGTCCACAGTGCGCAACATTATCAAGAAGTTTGCAACCCATGGCACTGTAGCTAATCTCCCTGGTCGTGGACGGATGAGGAAAATTGATGAAAGATTGCAACGCAGAATAGTCCGGATGGTGGATAAGCAGCCCCAAACATGTTCCAAAGACATTCAAGCTGTCCTGCAGGCTCAGGGAGCATCAGTGTCAGCGCGAACTATCCGTCGACATTTAAATGAAATGAAACGCTATGGCAGGAGACCCAGGAGGACCCCACTGCTGACACAGAGACATAAAAAAGCAAGACTACAGTTTGCCAAAATGTACTTGAGTAAGCCAAAAGCCTTCTGGGAAAACGTCTTGTGGACAGATGAGACCAAGATAGAGCTTTTCGGTAAAGCACATCATTCTACTGTTTACCGAAAACGGAATGAGGCCTACAAAGAACAAAACACAGTACCTACGGTAAAATATGGTGGAGGTTCAATGATGTTTTGGGGTTGTTTTGCTGCCTCTGGCACTGGGTGCCTTGACTGTGTGCAAGGCATCATGAAATCTGAGGATTACCAAAGGATTTTGGGTCGCACTGTAGGGCCCAGTGTCAGAAAGCTGGGTTTGCGTCCAAGATCCTGGGTCTTCCAGCAGGACAATGACCCCAAACATACGTCAAAAAGCACTCAGAAATGGATGGCAAAGAAGCGCTGGAGAGTTCTGAAGTGGCCAGCAATGAGCCCAGATCTAAATCCCATTGAACACCTGTGGAGAGATCTTAAAATTGCTGTTGGGAAAAGGTGTCCTTCCAATAAGAGAGACCTGGAGCTGTTTGCAAAGGAAGAGTGGTCCAAAATTCCGGGTGAGAGGTGTCAGAAGCTTATTGATGGTTATAGGAAGCGACTGATTTCAGTTATGTTTTCCAAAGGGTGTGCAACCAAATATTAAGTTAAGGGTGCCAATACTTTTGTCCAGCCCATTTTTGGGGTTTTGTGTGACATTATGTCATATTTGCTTTTCTGCCTCTGTTTTATATTTGTTCCAATACATACAAAGGGAATAAACATGTGTATAGCAAAACATGTGTTAATGCAATACCTTTTTTGTGTGAAATACTTGATTTTCAGGAAAAATATCAAGGGTGCCAACAATTTCGGCCATGACTGTATGTAATCAGCCACACCCCTCTGGGGGATGGACCTCAGAGACCAGAAGGCATAAAAGATTCCCACCATGTTCTGCAGAAATCCAACATGGATGCCAGCACATAGAGAAACATAACCTCTGGGAAAAGGTAGGACCTTGACAGTACCTCCTCCTCAAGGGCCCCTCCCCCTCTGCAGCTCAACAAAAGGCTTCTGAGGAAAGCGGGCATGAAAAGCGCGGAGGAGGGCAGGAGCATGGACATCCGCGGAAGGAACCCAGGAACGCTCCTCGGGACCATAACCGCGCCAATGAACCAGGAACTGCAATTGACCGCGCACCAATCGAGAGTCCAGATCCGGCTCACCTCATACTCCTCATGACCGTCAACCCGGATGGGACGGGGCCGAGGCAGAGAGGTAGTGAAGCGATTGCAGATCAGAGGTTCCAATAGGGATACATGAAAGATATTGGAGATCCGCATCCCAGGAGGAAGGGCAAGGGCATAGGCCACCGGATTCACCTTGCGGAGAATGCGAAAAGGCCCAACAAAACGGGGAGCTAGTTTGGGTGTGGGCACCTGAAGATTGAGGTTGCGAGTAGACAACCACACCCGATCGCCGACCTGGTATGAAGGAGCGGGCAACCGTTTTCGATCAGCCTGGAACTTCTGGCGCTGGGCTGAGTCTCTCAAGGCCCTCTGGATCTGCCCCCATGAAGAACGCAGGGCAGCAAGATGGTTCTCCACAGCCGGAATGTCCTGTGGTGAGAACCTCTCAGGTAATATTGCGGGTTGGAACCCATAGTTGGCCATGAAGGGAGACATCCCGGAGGAGGAGTTGACAGCCAAATTCCTGGCAAACTCTGCAACCTATTCCCAATGGGGAGCGTCCTTGGTCACACCTAGGTATGGACTTTATTGTAGACCTCCTGGTGTCTCGGGGTCATACGGTCATCCTCATGGTCGTCGATCGGTTTTCCAAGATGTGCCATTGCATTCCACTCAGGAAATTACCAACAGCGCAAGAACTGGCCACGGTCTTTTCCAGGGAGATTTTTCGCTTGCATGGGTTGCCTAAGGTGATTGTCTCGGACCGCGGGAGCCAGTTCATGTCCAGATTCTGGCGCTCCTTCTGCTTCCAGTTGGGTATTAGTCTCCTTTTCTTCAGCCTACCACCCGCAGTCCAATGGGGCTGCGGAGCGTTCCAATCAGGCCTTAGAACAATTCCTTCGGTGTTATATCTCGGACCATCAGGACGATTGGGCCGATCTCCTGCCTTGGGAGAGATGCCATGGAGACTTATTCTGGGCACAGATCGAACATGCCGCTACATAAGAGGCAATGTCGGCACGGAGGGTTGGCCACCAGAATAAATGAGAGACGACCCAGCACAGCTGGTTCTTCCCCGGATGCCCGGCAGTTTTAGAGTTATGGTAGGTACGCAGCAGGCGGGTGCGCAATCCCTCGGGTACGAAACGTCTACCTCCGGCCTCCCGGGAGGAGCATCAGTTTGAGCCGCCAAAATCTGCTCCCCAAGAGGAGAGGTCAGACTGGTGCGAATGGCAGCCAGGATCTGATCTGGAGGTATAAATGAGATTGGCTCAGAGTCCTCCCTGGACAACTCAGAGTATTGCCGTGATAACACATCAGCCCTGACATTCTTGGAACCAGGCAAATATGAAACCACATAGTTGAAGCGTGACAAGAACAGAGCCCATCTGGCCTGGCGGGGTGTCAATCTCTTGGCCTCCGAAAGATAAGTCAGGTTCTTATGATCGGTAAGAATGAGGACCGGAACCGCGGAGCCCTCGAGCAGGTGCCTCCATTCCTTGAGAGCCAGAATGATTGCCAACAACTCCCTATCTCCAATCTGGTAGTTGCACTCTGCAGAGGAAAGCTTCCTGGAGTAGAACCCACAGGGAAGTAGGGGTCCATCGGGCGCGACCGACGTTGAGACAGGAAGAGCGCCTACTCCCGTCTCGGATGCATCAACCTCAAGGACGAAGGGCAATCCAGGATTGGGATGAGACAGTATTGGAGCCGAAGCAAAGGCGGATTTCAGAGCCTCGAAAGCTACGATGGCCTTGGATGGCCACTCGTGAGGATTACTGCCCTTCTTGGTTAGGTCTGAGAGAGGCTTTGCCAGCATGGAGAAGTTCCTGATGAACTTCCGATAGTAGTTGGCGCGAAACCCAAAAAGCGCTGAATGGGCGAAGACCAATGGGACGAGGCCACTGCAGAACCGCCGCAACCTTCTGAGGGTCCATGGAGAATCCCTCCGCAGAAATGATGTAGCCCAAAAAGGCAACTTGGGATCGATGGAATTCGCACTTCTCAAGTTTACAAAAAAGTTAGTTCTCACACGTAATCGTTGCAGCACCTGCTTGACATCCTGGATATGGGACTCCATGGAGGCAGAGTAAACCAGGATGTCATCCAAGTAAACTACCACGCACTGCTGCAACAAGTCACGAAGGACATCATTTATGAATTCCTGAAAAACCGCGGGCTCGTTACACAACCCGCAAGGGCGAATCACCAGGTATTCGTAGTGACCGGTTCTGGTGTTAGAAACGCGCTCTTCCACTCATCCCCCGTTTGATCCGTACGAGAGTTGTACGCCGCCCTAAGGTCAAGTTTGGTAAAGACTCGTTGCCCCCTTAACAGGCGGGTCGAAACAACTCAGTAATCAAGGGTATTGGGTAGGCATTCTTAGTGGGTGATTCGATTGAGACCCCCTATAATCGATGCAAGGGCCTCAATTCACCACCCCTTCTTCTTTACAAAGAAAAAGATTAGTAAGCCGCTCCTGCTGGGGGAAGTAGGAAACTTACGAATGTGCCCCCGGGAAAGCACATCTGCAATGTACTCCTCCATGGCCTTATTCTCCTCAACCGAGAGAGGATACACCCTGCCATGCAGAGGAGTGGCACCGGGTTGCAAGGATATGGCGCAGTCGTAAGGACGATGAGCAGGTAAGGCACAGCACGTACCTTATCAAACACGTCTGGTACTCCCCATAATCGGTGGGCAACGCGCAGAGTCCGAGGAGGCACACAACACCTTAACCCGGCCCACAGATGCATCCCGGCCCCACACTGTGGAGACCACGAGAAGAATCTCGGCCGTTTGCCAATTAAAGGTTAGATTGTGCGTCTGGAGCCATTGGGGATAACCCCAAAACCACCAAATAGTGCGGGAGAAGAAATTACCTGGGAAACAGGCCAACTCCCTGTGAACAGCCCCAATAGCTACTTCAACTGGCATTGGTCTCGTGGGTAACCTGCGGTGGTTGCAGGGGCCATGC